TTTGGTTAGCCATAGGTGTGTATGAGACCATGCATACAGCAGAGGGTAACCCCGTAGCATATGTTCGCATCATCACAGGCGTAGCAGTTGTCTGCATTCTTATCACTTTGTGGGAGTAGAGGTGTGTTTCCCCTAGACTGTGTTCAGTGAGTTAACTAAGCATTGAATTTCAAAATAGATTAATTACAAGTTATATTTGTACACTTTAAATTTGATAGTTTTAATCATAGTTTAGCATAGTAAAGTTGCTAAAGTTAAAGTTGTTAGCTAGCTTTCTTTTAGCTAGCAAACGTTCCTCGTAAATACAGAGTACATTGTCAATTTTTCCACTTATACTTAAAATTTGTCACTTCTCAGGGTGCATTTGGTTAGCAGATAGACCTTGCAGACAGCAGAGCATGTTCAATTTGAACCTGTATATGTTCAAATTAACCAGTCAGCAGCTGCCTGCATTTTTATCATGGTGTCAGAGTAAATTTGTGTTTTGACGGTCTTGGGTGAGATAACTAATTACTGACAGAGTGAAATGTGGTGAATTTATGCCAGAGTATTTATGTGAGTAAAAGTATTTCTATCAAATGTATTGATATTTTAAGCTCAAATGTGAAATATGCCTGAGGTTAAAGTTAGTTGACCTAGCAAGAAAAAACAAAATTGTGTGTGTGCACACAAGACTTGCTTTCGTTACCTTCTGTAATTGTAAGCATAATGTGAAGTGTGGGGTTGTGGCATGTCAACAGTGGTCTTCAAATAATTAAAAAGAAAATTCTCTCACACATTTGGATATGACACAATTTTTCCAATTTTGAATTACAGTCTGTAGATTTATTTATTTATTTTTTTTTAAATTTTGGATTCATCTTTTCAGTGTTTCATTGTAGTGTTTTAGAGAAGGTTTTATACTTAAAATAACTTGTTAACTCAAAAGCCTCGATAAGTCTTTGTAGTCTTTTATAGTCCTTAGAACTCAACAAAAACTGTTTGAAATAGTCTCCAAATCTAGGTTACATTTACTTTCACTCACCTTATCCTACTGCTAGCAAAGGGTGCATTGAAAGCAGGGCAGTATGTAACAGATTTAATTCAAGTTATAAAAATTAAATTGTTTATTTGTTAAAAACAAAAATTAAATCAATAATTAGCAAAACGCTAGTCCTATAA